TTCTTCCACACCCACACACACGCACGCACGCGATAGCTCAGGCTGCCGTCACTCGGAGCACACAACACATCCACCGGCACAACCACCGCATCCGCATCACCAGATACATGTCCAGCACTCCCAGCACCCATCACGCACACGGACGTGCAGCAGCAGCACAAGAGCGCAAGGACCATCACGGCGCACACCACACGGAGCCGCACCGTCACCATCGTCATTATCGCAGTCATCATCACCCGTAGTGGAGTCACTGGAGTCAGTGAGCTGATCCGTGAGACAGAAGGAAAAGGAATGGAACGAGAGGGAAAGGGACGGAGTGCAGCGGATACAGCGAGAGAGAGCAGACAACATGAGGAGAGGGCAGCAGGCCCAGCCGCACAGTTCACACACCACGAGACGGCATCCACGCAAGGAAGGCACACAACGCCAGCAGCCACCCACCATGCAGGAGAAGAAGATATCCACCACCATCTCCCCCAACTCATCGCTACAGCCCCACGGAGCGAGCACCCACCACACCAGCCACACGACAGTGGACCCTCATCCATCCATGACGCGGCACCAAAATTTCCAGCCATCCCGCCCTCAATGGGACACGGAGCCAAACTCAACGCAGCCACACGCGGTGCACCACACCCGCAGGAAAAGAGACTCGGGCTGCGCACACCCTCTCCCTCCTCCTCCCTTCTCCTCATGGCCACGGAAGAAGACAACAGCCGCCACACGCAACTGCCAGCATGCACTGCAAAAGGAGCATTCAAATCCACTACAATGTGCATCTTGTGTGTGTGTGCCTGCAGAAACACAAAGCAAAGAAGTAGAAAAAAGAGAGCAGAGTATGTGGAGAGACGCACAAAATGTACAGCAGAGACGCATAACGGAAGCAACAAGAAGAAGACCGGTCAAACTCATGACTGCACTGCAGCCCAATCAGTGGCAATTCACAAAAGATTTATTTAAAACAAAAAGAAAACGTTCCCCTTCGTCTTATTTAAACCCCATCACACAAAATAATTATAAATGAAAAAGAAATCGTCCATTACTGTTCCACACAAATTTAAAGAAGTCGCCTGGCTGCCGTGTGGCCAAACAAAACTGTCTGTATATATTTTGCCCGAAAAAGAAAATTGAAAAGATGGTTGCGTGTGCTTCAACCGTCTGACCCTCTGTGTGTCCGCACATCGTTTATATTTCATGGGGTCATCTGCGTGTTGCTGCTCCCCTCAGCCCTCTCATCGGCGTGCGAGTGCGGCCCGCAGAGCACAGTCACTCGTGTGTGTGTGGGGACTGAGAGAAGCACGCAGACATGACGGGAGTCGCGTCACTCCATCGGGGAGTGAGCGCAGCAAAAAAAGAAAAATCATCAGGAGGGGAGAGAAATGCTGACTGCACTGCCAGCGCGTGAAATGCACACAAAAAGCAAAAAATCTTAAAAACCGGCAGGGTGTGGCTGTGTGTGTGTGGCGCTGCGGGTGTCTGCCCGCCCTGGCCGCAAAGAAAACAAAACAAGAGGGAAAGAAATGTGTGCTCCGCCCCACAGGCCCTCGTCGCACGCCCACACGTCACGGCTCCCTCAGCGCGCCGTTCGTCGCGGCCCCTCCTCATGCGTGCAGCAGGCGAGGCGCACAGGGCCGTCGTCATGAGCGTGTCGGTGGGTGTGCGAGTGGAGCAGTTGGGCGGGAAACACACGGCACCCCTCACAGGAAGAGTGCAGCAAGAAACAATTAAAAGAGGGAAGAGTAGAAAAGAAAAAACGTCCATAGTGATTGCCCCCAAAAGCAAAAAAGAGGGATGCGGGAGTGAAAGATAAAAGGGAATGAAAGATGATATTTTTTTAAAATAAAGAAACATTAAAACATTAAAAAAGAAAAACAACAAAGAAGGCTTCAAGAATTATAAATTACAAAAAAAGAAAAGAAAAAAAAATTATTTTAGGATAAAATTTAGTTCTTTGAAGTGAATTTTTGCAGCGGAGGTCGTAATTGTTTTCATGCGGCAGCCAGTCACTCCTCACAGAGCCGCAAACCCCCACAGTCCCAACAGAAGGGGCAGCGATGGCAGCAGCCTGACCTCACAAACAGTGCCGCCATCACCCGTTGCTTCTCCAACGGCATGGGAGTTCGAATCCACGGACACGTGCTCTGTGTTGGCAGATTCCCCCACCGTTGCATTTTGTCCTGCTTTACTTTCTTTTTGAGGCTGCTGCAAGGTCGCTTGAACCACTGGAGCTTCAGAAGTTTTGCCTGCAATGGACGCTTCGGCACGAGATTCTTCGGTAAAAGACGCTGCTGCACGTGGTTCCTCTTCATAAGGTTCTTCTGCGGTTGACGCTTGTGCTTTAATTTCCTCTCGAGGCTGCTGCGATGCCGCTTGCACCCGTGGAAAAGGCATTTCTGCATGAGGTTGGCCTGGGGAAGACGCTGCTGCATGAGGTTGTTCTGCAGGAGACAACACCGGAGCAACCACAGACTCTTCTACTTGCTCCTCTTGCACTTCTCCCTTGTCATCCTTCCACACACTCGGAATTACAAGACTGCTGCCGTTGGCGGCAATGGTGCAGACCTCAACGTAC